CTAGATCTGATTTAGAGCTCCTTCAGCTGCAGGACAAGTATCAGAGAAACTCACCAGACACAGCAATTGTTTTGTTGCTCATCAAAGGAATACTGTTTTAGATGCAGAAGTTGTGATGGTCCTGAGGTAGTGGCATAAAAGAATCCATTTGCCCCCCACTTTCAAACACACACCCCCAGCACCCACAAAAAACATGGAAGGATCCTCAGTGTGGGCTTTGTCAGCCTAGCTCAGGATGAGTTATTCAGCCACTCTGAGTGAGCAAACAGTTCCCATTTTACCATAGGAGGGCAGAGCATGATTCCTTGTGGTCAGTGAGTCTGTCAGCTGGCCAGCTGGCAAGTGCCACTTCTAAGGAGCTAAATTAATGCTTTCTTATTTTCTGCCCACTTTCTATGTATCCTTGGCTTTTCCTTTCTTCTCTCAAAATACCAATTTACCAAAATACCAAGTTGCTAATGCTGTTTCTTCAAATATTGAGAGTCCCAAACCTGCAGCATTGTGATCTGGGCTGCTGTTGCACAGAGTTCCTTCTTGGTCATGTACCAGTGTGCAAACTTGTTCCCACAGTGTACTAGTGCTTGGGAATGGTCTCACAACTGTGAATGAGTTAATGAACTACCAAACTACAAGAAAACATACAAAGGGAGAACAAAGGTATTTCCTGCCCACGTGTTGAACATCTAGATCTGTGAAATAGAGAAGAAAAACCTTTCAGCATTCTCTACATGATCAGAAGTCCCCAGTCTGAACAGTGGTTCGGATTTGTTGGTGTCATCCACTGAGTTCAGAGCAGCAAGTAGTGCATTCCAGATGAGTTCTGCTCTCACTTGAACTCAGTGTTTGGCTTATTCAACCTTTGTTTTCCAGCTCAGGTGTGTTGCCACTTGAAATAGCAATAACGTGGTTGTAGACAAACCCAACATTTGCTGACAAAGTTGGAATTGGACAGTTGGTGAAAATCAGCCCAGAAAAAGAAATAAATCATTCAATCAGTCCTAGCCAAAATGCAGTAGTGGTTCTTTAACATACCACCTCTTCCTTTTTAGTAGTGACATATTGCATACATTTTTACATACTTCACATCTTTGTTTTCCCCCAAGTGTCTGTGCTAAATATGTGAAGAGGTGGGTGGCAATGAATCCTGAGCCCTTGGATCAAGTGACAGGGTTTTCACAATGTTTTCCAGTGTGGGTGAATAAATGTGTGACTTTAGATAAGTCTGATCAATCTCTTTGTGCCACTGAGAGGTTTTCAACACTTCTATGCCTTGCACCACAAGGCCACCAGTCTGCTGCAAGACTTAGGCTCAGCATTTGTCTGATTCAGGGTACTGATTCTCCTCTGCCCAGAAGAACCATCCCAGTGGCAGCTCTTCGGTGTCAGATCAGACCTTCCCCTCTGTGTATCTTTGCTTGCCATGCACTGCAGACTGGCTTTGCTTGACACAGAAACCCTGAGGGAAGCACAGCCCTCACCTTTGGGAGCACAGAGTAAAGGGAGGCGTGCCATGCTACCCTGAGGTGATTGGGGACTGCTTAATATAATGTTTGGTAGTTATTTAAAAATAGAGGTGACTATACTGAAGTTATTTTTGCCCATTTAGGTTTTTCTAGAGCACTTAAGTCAATAGTTGCCCATTTATTATGGTGTAAATGTAGATTTACATTCACTGTAGATTCTGGCCATAAGGAAGAGTCTGTTTCTTCTGCCAGAGAAGAGATGTTATCCTTCCCCAGTTTACTTCAGTGCTTTATTTACCCACACAAAATTATTTCCCAGTCTTATTTGGCACATGGCACTTCAGTGAGTTTTCATAAGATGTTTCAGGCCAGAGTGTGAGCCTCATTAAAATGTTCATAAAACTTTTTTTTTATAGACAAACCATTTTCTTGAAAGAACTGAATGTTCCAGATACTAAATCTAATTTATTGTCGTTTTCTTTGTGAGATATTCTTTGAGAACAATAACTTGGGTTGGGTCTTAGCAAATATTTTAGAAAGCCAGCTGAAGATCAAATTTCCACCAGAATCAAAGTTAACACAACCTTTCAATTAAGGAATTATTATTCTGGAGGAAATTTCTATTTTACTTCAATATTTTGCCTTGGCTATACGGTCAGAAGTCAGAAACATAGGAATGTATATTGCTCCTGGCAAATGGCTGACTTCAAATTCACCTGCTGTCCAGGTGTCCTAATAGAAGCCCTCAGATATTTTTAACCAACTTTTTAATGAAAAACATAAAATGCTTTCTGACACATGACATTTAATCTTGAATTTATCTTTGAATTCTAGTGTTTGTCTGAAGCTGGAGGAGTACCAGAGTTACAGAAGTACATGTGCCAGTACCTGCAATACACCAGTCGTTTTACACTATTTCATCCAATTTGCAGCTTGCTTGAATGGTATTGGCATCTGTGGATGAAGTGGTTCCACCATGACTGTTATTGGCTGCCTGAAATGCATATTACCTGCCAGTTTCTTGACCTCAAAAAAGAGAACTTCGTGAAGAGTTAAGCCTTTAATTAAATATGTTCTGACAATTGTTTTAGTGACTGAAAACTATGATTTTGTTTCTATTGAATTACAATTATAGCATTGGAGTAAAAAAATTGCAGACTTTGTGCTGGCTTGTTATATATATAACATAATGCATACTCTGCTCTCTGTTATTTAACCATATTGGAAGCAGGATGCTCTCCAGTCTACAGGAGCTGTCTTGCATCCTGTGGGTAAAATCCTGTCAAATGTCCATGTTAGTATCAGTTTGCATTCTGTTCCAAAGCAGTAAATGGGGGTGAACAAGAGGGGATGTCTTGGGTTTCATGCACTGGTGTGAAACATGTCCCTGTTTCATCTCACTTGATCAGTGATGAAATTGCTGGACCTTTTTTATCTCTGGGGCAAATGCACTGCACTGTGGTGTCACAGAGGAACCTTTTGCAGCATTACTTCCTCAGTGTCTACCTTCAATATTCAACAGCATGCCAGATGAGACTTTATTTCCTCTTGTGTCTCATAAAACCTTGGTGGCTTCAGGTCCCAGAAGAGAGCTGTGTCTCTATGCCAGTTCTAATGAGTTAAGATTAACTTATTGTCCTAAACCATCACATTTCTGGGCAGGCAACAGCAATGATAGCAGTCTAGTGAAATGAGAAACTGAGGCAGCAGTGTCATCCTGGTTCTGTGACAATAAGAGAAATTTCTGGCTCATATTTATATTAACACATGTCCTGCAAGTTTGGCTTACAAGGCATTTAAAAACGAAACAACACAAAAATCAAACTTTTCTTAGACAATGTTCTCATATATAAAATCCTTTATACTATAAAATCTCATATACTAAAATCCTGATTTTCAATTTTGTTCCTAATTTTGGTGGACAAGAATTGAGATGTTTGACTTAACTTGGGCAAACCTACATAATAATTTATTTTTCTGACCAATCCTTTTTTAGGATTCTCTCCTCTGAAGTCACTCTTGGGAGAGAAATCCTGTTCTAGAATAGCAATGCAGACACGTGGGATCTATTTGATCTCTTCTTTTAGCTGTGTGTTTACTGGGGAGTGACCTGTTATGTTTTGATATAGTAATAGTAGTATTCCACAACCACTAAAATGTTGCCTAAGAAAGCAACCTTTTTTTAAATTAAGAAAAAACTATGCACAGATCCTTTTTATATGGTTTTTGTAATTCAATTCCCAGGGAAAAATTCATACTGCATAGGAAAATATAGTATTATAGAAAATTGCTACGTTGGATGCCAAAAATACTTGGCATTCCAAACAAATGGAAATTAAAAATAATTAAACAACAAAAAAGGGAAGAAATTAGAAGGGTTTCGGGTAAGTCTGTAGAGGTTGCTTCCACTGCTGCTGGTCACTCATTGAACACTTACTTAATAATGGTTTTACTCTAAGACAACTGTGTTTTAATTAATGAAGAATTAAATGCAGAGGCTGACAGAAATCTCCTTGGCTGACTGAAAAGTCACTATGAAAAACAAACAAACAAAAACCCCGCAAAGCTTCGAGCTTTGTCCAATATCCAATATTTACCATTAAACTTCAAATACAGTTTAGTACTTCAGGGTTGATTCTCTCCACTTCCTTTTGCTCTGGGAGTGACGAACAGTGGCTTTGTCTAGTACAAAGCTAAAATCAACGTTCTGCAGTTACAAACAGAGGTTCATCCTCTTGTTTTCCTCCCGAGCTCGAGGGTTATGTGCCTGGAACACTGAGCCCCGAGGCGGACGGCAGTGGCTGTGGGGTGACTGTGGCAGGAGCGGTGCCCGTGTTCGGGAGCCGGTGGCGCAGGAATGCCCGGGAGCCTGGCACAGAGTGACCGGGCTGCCCTCCCCGCCGATGGGGAAACCTGCCGGACATTGCTGTAAAACGGAACGCTGCTCGTTTGAAACTGCACGGGTTTGTACTTCAGTGATTCCCGAGCCCTTCGGGCTTTGCCGCGAGCGGCGGCAGAGCACCGCGAGAAGGAAGGGATTTGCACAGAGCCATACTCAGCGTGGGGTTTATTCGGATTTTGGGATCTCTGGATTCTCTTTCCCAGAGCAGCTACTCGATGCCCGGCGGCTGTAGCCCCGCGGGAGCGGCTCCCTCACCCGGGCAGGGCGGGAATGCTTCACTCTGCTGAGCTCCCGGCACCGGGTTCGCAGGGCAGGCACGAGGGACAGGATCCGAGCGCCGCCGGCCCTGGCGAGACCCGGGGGCTCGGGAACCAGCCCTGAACAGACCCGCACGCGTTCGAGGGGCGCCGCGTCAGTGTCCAGGGCCGAGGGCGAGGGACTGGGTGCGGGAACGGGGACGGGGACAACGGCGCAGCCAACAGCAGGAGCGATGCTGGGCCCGAGCGAGCACTGCGGGCCCGGGCCCAGACTGCCGGCTCCGCCCCCGGCTCCGCCCCCGGCTCCGCCTCCGCTCCGCCCCCCGCTCCGCCCCCGCGCCGCCGCCGTTGCATGGCAACAGCCGCTGCGTTCCCAGAGTGCTTTGCGTTGCGTTTCGCCGCGCGGTCGGCAGGGGGCGCTGCGCGCTGTCGGGTGTGCGCGCCCCGGACATGGACGCAGGTGCGGGAGCGTGCGGGAGCCGGTGGGAGCCGGTGGGGCGGTGCGGGAGCCCGCGGGACGGTGCGGGAGCCGGTGGGAGCCCGCGGGGCGGTGCGGGAGCCCGTGGGGCGGTGTGGGAGCCCGTGGGACGGTGTGGGAGCCCGTGGGGCGGTGTGGGGCCGGTGCGGGGCCGGTCGCTGTGCCGCTCGCTGCCGCGGCCTCGCCCAGCCCGGCCCGCTTTGGTCCCGGTGGCACGGCCACTGGGATTACTTTCCATCTCTTGCGTGCGTCCAGTTCTTACTGGTTTTTTCCTTGAATCAGATGATGCAGGAAATCGACTTCGATTCCAGTTGGAGCTGGAGTTTGTTCAATGTCTGGCAAATCCAAATTACCTCAACTGTGAGTACTTTAATATAAACACCAGGACCCGGACGAGTTAATGTAGCGTAATGATGTTTACTGTTACTGGTAATTGGAGAGAGAGCTAAACAAAGAAAAGGGTTTTTCACAGCATAAAAGTAGTCTTAAATAATAATAATTTGTTTAACAGGTAGATTTTTTTTAAAATGCAAATTCTTTTCTTGATTGGAATCCAAAAAAAAAAAAAAGGCATTTAAGTTCCAGTCTGTTATTAAGAAATAATATCAAATTAACAGTATTCCTTTATCTGAAAACGGAATTTTACTAATGTGAATAGTTTTAGGTACTATATATAACTCATTGCTAATTTTGATGCTACAGTCAACATTTTGTTGATTCAAAAAGCTTTTCCATTCTATGAAAGACACAAACTGTAAGGGCGATGAGACCCATCTATTATTTTGTTGACATAAGAATCTTATTTTGCCCTGTGTTTTTTTAATTTGCCAAATACAAATTATTGAAATGTGATTGTACTGAAAATGTTTTGACTTTGTGGTTTTTTTTCAAGTGTGATAATATTTTACACCCATCTGTAACTGTCAATTCCTTATTTGTCATTTTATTTCAGTTCTTGCACAAAGAGGCTACTTCAAAGATAAAGCTTTTGTAAATTATCTTAAATATTTACTTTATTGGAAAGAACCTGAATATGCAAAATACCTGAAGTAAGTGCTAAATTCCCTTAAGTTTCTGAATTTTAATGGTTTGGCATTGACTTAATTTCACACACTGTACAGCAGCATGTTAGGATTTCATTTCTGCCTGTAATGTTACTTTTGTCCCCCCCACAACATAGATTATGCAAGGTTATGGTTCTATGCAATGTAGATTTTCCTGTTTCCCATAGTCCACGTGTAGCAGCAATGGGCAAAAATATAAAAACTTCATGAGTTTTGCATAGAATCTTCCTTTAAAGCCTTAATTTGCACTTTCAATGGGTTTAAAATCAAACTATTGAACATTAGGGTAAAAAAGCAGTTAGGTGCATTATAAGATCAGTTTTGCATTATTGATGCTTACATGAGGCAAAGGGTGATTTTGTGTTTTTGCAAGTGTGCAAATTCCTTCGGTTTTGGGGAAAATGCTTTTGGTCGTCTTTAGTTGGGCTCTGCAAGCAAGCCTTGTAAAGCTGTTGGATGGATGGATGGGTTTGGTCTATCAAACCAAGCCATTGGGGAAGGTACTCTTAAGTAAGGGCATTTATTACTGGGATTGGATTCCTTGTTTCCTGGCCTGATGCTGCAGTTACCAAGTCACAGCATGCATGCTGAAGTGGTTTCACACTTGGGTAAAGACACACGAGTCAAAGCTAGCAACCCACAGGAGTACTGGAGACTCCACATTTAGTGTCCCTTGTAAAAACCTGTATTAAAGCGTGTTTGTTTCAACCCAGGTATCCTCAGTGTTTGCATATGCTAGAGCTGCTGCAGTATGAACATTTCCGCAAAGAACTGGTCAATGCTCAGTGTGCCAAATTTATTGATGAGCAACAGATCCTCCACTGGCAGCACTATTCCCGGAAAAGGATGCGCCTCCAGCAGGCACTGGCTGAGCAGCAGCAGCAAAACAACACCTCTGTAAAATGAAAAGCACACGGAGGAGTGATGATAAGGTGTACTTTGTGTTACTGAAGTATTTACAGATGAATGAACCCGTGTTCAAGTTTGGCTCTGGGTGTGTGTCCCTTTTATTTATATTTATCAAGTGACTGGGGTTTGTTTCATCAACTCTTTTAAAAGACTAATAAACACCTGCAATTTATTTTATAGCATGGACAGTTTTGTAAGAGCTTTACTACAATAGTTATTGATTCCTCTTGATTTTGAAAACAAAATCTAGATTTGTTACTATCCACAAAGAAGTGTAGCTCTAAAGGCTGTTCCTAGGAAGCCTTTTCCCTGGAGAACAATGATGTGTCTTAAAGTGTCACAGAGAACTCCCTGCTACTTACAGCTCTGGGACAAACACAGGTGAAGTGATGATAGACAAAGTAAAAACTGTGCAGTTTTTCCTTGAAACCAAGCTGAGCTATTACTTGTCACTTCTGTTTCCCAGTCATTTTTGATGGAAGTTAGTTTTCCTTACAGCACGTTGTACAGATAGAAATCAGGAGTGTACAGGGTAAGGTCTGGGGAGCAGAGCAGAGCTAGGTGCTGATAAACTCTGCAGCATAGAGAAGGAAACAAGCTGTAGCTGTCTCTGTCCTGTTAAACTCAGCTTCCTTGAATCTTGGCCTCTGCCCGTGCAGCAGCAGCTTCTCTGGAGTCTGTGTGTGGGGAACGGGCATTGCTTGGAGTATTGGAGAAGCACTTTATTCCTGTATAGTTTTTTATTCTAAGAACATAGCTCTTGGCAGCTGCCAGGGTTTTAATTTTTAGACTGTATTTCTGGTGCATTCGTGTTGTATTTCCTGTCCTTGTAGGAGCAGGTACTCCCAACTGTTACCATGTCATCAGTGACACTACAGCTGTCAGCCACCACATTATCACACTTGGAATGAACAGATAAGCCATTAAACATTTTTGGCATTGAGAATTTATCAGTAATTATGTGGTCAGGCTTAGGAAGGAGGTCTTTCTGTTTCTCCCCTTACTCACTGTAACTTTGCAGCTACACTTCAGTAAGTGCAGGCTAATCCGAGTTTCAAACACGAGCTCAGCTTTAAAAAGAGGTTGTTCACAAACTCAAGTTTATTTGGACATGAAAGAAAAGATACAGTTTTTCTTGTAAGATTTTAGTGTAAGGTTTGGACCCAGAATTTCAGGACATTTATCTTGACTAGTCCAAAGTAATTAATTATTAAAGTTTTAACAAAGTTCAGTGATTCCTTGAAAGGACAGTCCAGTAATTGAGACTGCCATCTTCATCAATGATTGACTGGCGAGGGCTTTAGTCTTCAGTAAACAACATCCGCACAAGCTCTGATTTAAAACATTCTTCTTCAACCAGCTTCTGAGGCTGAAAGAAAAAAAGTTCATAATTAAAAAACCTGTCCTAGCTGAGAGCCATTTGTACATACTAACATTAGCCACATCCAGCAACTTTGTCCTGGTGAGTGACGTAGTGGGGGTGGAACAGAAAGGTAACTACAACTGAAACATTCCTGAGGGTTTTCTGGCCTTGGAAGAGGCATTTTTAAGAAAGTAACATGTACAAGTTACAACTTGAGCTGCAGTCTGAGTGCTCGGAACTTGTTTCACTCCCGTAGTTCAGTGCTCAGATTTTTCAAAAGTTGAGGAGCTGCAAATCAGGAACAGTAACAGTTTGTAGCTAAGAAGTTTCTCAGCCCCTCAAGCACAATGAGCCAAATGCACATGTTCCCTTTACTGCATGTTTATTATAGACATTACACAATAAAGCAGAATGGTTGTCTGTTGAACTGGGAGCAGAAGAATGTTGAGAGCTGTTTAGAATGCTCTGGTCTCCTTGAACAAGAGAGGGTTCTCAGAGAATACAAGTGACTAATTAATTTACAGCCCTAAATTCCTGCCAGGTCCCCATCTCAATGTCTGCAGATCCAGAATATAAATCACTTACTGTTCCATATTTAAGTAGTGTAGGCACTCCTGTTAGTTTCAGATTCCTCCTGAATTCATTGTTGGGATCCTTCCAGCTGTTCAGAAAGAAAGTGTTAGGCACAGCTTGTAGAGGGGCATTTTGGAGTTAAAATAGTTTCAAAATTATTCAAAGGCCTTTGCCTCACACCTTCTCAATGCCCTTCTCAAAACAAGCATCAGATAGGTTATGTCAGAGATGGTGAAGACCTCAAAAATTATAGACTTTACAGAAAAGGGCAGCTCAGTCAGTTTTTTTCAACATGTTAACCACCAGTCCACAAACAGAACAAAGTCATCCCATTTGTCAGCATTCAAAGGTACTTACTAGGCTCTATCTCCTACTAGACAGTAGATGAAAACTGAGTCATCAGGCAGGTTATGAAGTTCCTTCCTCACAATTGGCTCAGCTAGAAAATAATTTTTAAATTCTGTTAGTACTTAATACTTGTGCTACAAGATCACATGCATTTACTTGAACCGGCAAGGCAGCTAATTAACATTAGCTCTGCTTTAGTTAGAGATCTGTATTTCATTGCACCTGGCTGCCCGCAAGTTTTTCAGAGCTTATTACATGCTCGAACGCTGACTGGACTTGTGTTGGAGTAAAGGTCAATTTCTTCTCTAACACGAAGAGAAACACTCGTTCTGTCCTGTCCTGGGTGTGGTAGCTCAGCACAGCGCCCTTCTGCAGGGAGACGGTTCCGCAAGCAAGGCACCTTCCTACCTGCTCAGACACGCAAAGCCCAGGCAGTGCGGTGCGGCGACTGCTCAGCAGGAAATGCTGCCGCTGGGCACGGTCGGGGAGGGCACCGCTGCCCGTGACACCGGCCGCAGGGCTCGGCTCTGCTCGCTCGCTGGGCCGTGTGCGCTGCGCAGCCCGCTCGGTTCACCCGGGGAGCTGCGCTGGAGCCCGGCACCGCGCGCGGCTGCTGCGCCCGCCCGGCATTCTCCGGAAAGGCACCGGCACCGACCCGGGCTGCGCTCCCCGCACCGGCCTCACCCGTCACGCAGTCGGGACACCAGCTCCTGCCCTCGGCGTCCTTATCGCCGCAGAAGAGCGCGAAGATGGGCCGGCCGTGGTAGCTCTGCGCCGTCCGCACGAACTCGGGGTACCCGCGGACCTGCCTCTCCTCCCAGCCCATGGCGGCGGCGGCGGCGGAGGCTCCGCCCGGCGCGGCCCGCGCGGCCGCCGTAGCGCGCCCGCCTGTCCCTCCGCCTGTCCCTCCGTCTATCCGCCTGTCCCTCCGTCCGTCCGCCCGCCGCTCCCCTGCGGCAGCGCCCGGGGCCCGCCGCGCCGTGAGGGCCAGCAGCAGCCGCGGGCCCTGTGCGGCTGCGGAGAGGCCGCCCCGGTCTGTCCGCGGCTCCGCGGGCCGGGTCTCCCTTTGTCACTCACATCAGACCCGGGATGGCTTTTGCCAGCCTGAAGTAGCGGCTCACTGTTCTGGCATTCACAGCTGCGGTCACAGGCAAGGGATAATAGCGGGGTTTGCTCCCGAGCCGGTGCGATGGTACCGAGCAAGACAGCGGTGTCTGATGGTGCGTTTGCATTCACCACCCAGCGGTACGGGAATGAAGCTAAAGCTTTACAAACGCAGGTACCATTTGCCGTCTGTAGCGATGCTGAATTGGTTTTCTTTGTGATTGTAACAAAAAGGTGATTCTGACCCACTTCATGAGGCAGCCCGGCAGGGAGTGTCATACTCGCTTTCCTCGTGCTGTCACATTAACTTGACACTGTCCTTTAGTAAGGCTAGGTATCACAAACTGTATGTGTAATTATTCTTCATTGTCTGTTGTGGTTTAATCCCACTAGGCAGCTGAGCATGCAGCCACTTGCTCACCCTCTCCTAGCTGGGATGGGGAAGAGAACTGGAAGGCAAAAAGTATGAAAAGCTATGGGTTGTGATAAAGGCAGGTTAACAGGGAAGGCAAATGCTTTCCTGTTTATGTGCACAAACAAAGCAAAATAAGGAATTAATTCTCTCCATCCCATCAGCAGGCAGGAATTGAGCCATTTTCATTACTTCAGCACATATAACAGTGACTTAGGAAGGCAAATGCTGTCACCAGTCTCCCCTTTCTCCTTCTTCCCTGCAGCTTTTGCTGCTAGGCATAGTCCCCCATGGTGTGGAATATGCCTTTTGTCAGATGGGGTCAGCCATTTGGTTGTTTCCTGTCTATCTTCTTGCCCACCCCCAGGCTACTCAGTGAGGAGCAGAAGGGGCCTTGATCTCTGTGAGCACCTCTTAGCAAGAATGAAAACACTGGTGTGCTGTTAGCACTGTTTTCATCATAAATCCAAAACAGTTGCATCATGACAGTTGCATCACCTGTGTATAGCATGCTGTATAACATCAGGGTTTTTTTACACTTTGAACAGCTCCAGTTTAATAGAAATGTTCCTGCAGTTCCAGAGAACTTGGCTCTTAGATTCTCTCACCCCCGTCCAATTATAATAGAAAAACTGAAGGTGTCCAGTGATCAGAGAAATCTCGTTGGAAGTGAGGACCTCAGCCTGAGAAGCTCTGGGATGTTCTCAGTGGTATCTGAAGAGAGACTTAAATTGGCTGTTCAGCTGGCAAAAAGGGACATCAAACAAAGACGTCTCGAAGAACAAGTGAAGCAGCAGGTATTTGGAGATGTCTTCAGTACACCGTTGTGGGCCCAGAAATCACCACCACAGAAGACTGAAGTATTTGCAAGTCGAGAAAATAAAAATACCCTGAAGTCTCAGACTCACTTGAGATGTCAGCAGAGGTTTGCCCAGCCTTCCCGAGGGGGGTCTGCCAGCTCTGACACGAATGCTCATCTCTGTGCAGTTAAGGAAGGAAAGCCAATACCAGCTGCTTTGGACTCTCCTCCCACTCGCGACACAGGACCAGACCCCAGGCAAAATTTAAATAAAAAAACCCATCAAAATATGCTGGAAGTCCAGCGTCTGCAAAAAGAATTGAGGAGCTATGTCCAGAAAATTGAAGATATTATTAAAAAAGGTGTAAGACTGAACAGTAATTATGTTATATGCATGTACACTAGTTTGTTGATTCCTCCCCCCTCCCCCCCCCTTTTTTTGGGTTGGATTATAATTTGTATTTATGTCTGGACTTTTGAGAACCATCTATTTTTTTGAAAAGTAAATAAAAGAATAGCTAGCCAGCTTAAGCAGTTGGTGCTTTTGTAATAACTAGCAGGGGGTTTAACCGTTCCTAATTTTGA